TAATTACTATATATTTTTGTAACATGAAATGCATGTTGCTTATATATATACTTCAAGTCCAGTTATTAGTAGTGCAAACTTGGGGAAGAAATTCTGCTTATTTCTAGATTTTTGTTCCTTCAATTAATTATATTTTGGGTTTAATGAATTTAAACTATGAAGTATCATCAAATAACAATTCCCCCATTTTGATATCTAAAATAATAATTTATCCTCTAATGTCAATCCTTTTTTAGAGGTTCATGCATATTCAAAGTTCACATGAATAGAAATATAAAAAAATAAATAAATGTGAAATGCATGTATAAAATTTTATAATTAAAACACATAAATAACTTAATATATTGCCTAAAAAGAAAATAACATACAAATAATATACCTTGTAAGGAGGTTAGAATATGAGGGATATCAAACTGAATTTTTAAATTTTGGGGAACTTTCCAAAAAGTATGTCCGCCCGTGAATGAGATAACCTTAATCCATATAACAATAATACTAACATCTTAGAAGTTATCCTAAAATTATTTCTCAAGCGATGTGTAATTGTATGTGCGGTCAGATGTAAAATCATGAAGTGATGAATGATTTGACAATGAAAATAAGTGAATTTGGGATTGAAATTTCGGGTGTAATTTTATACTTATTGTTAGAAGTTGACTTTGTCTCACATTTGTCAAGTTGGTGGACTTTATATATATATATATATGTGTGTGTGTGTGTGTGTGTGGACTTTCTTCCCCTTAACTAACTTTTGGAAATAAGTTTTATCCAAAATTCTTGTTTTGGGTGTGATAGGTTTGAACCCAACCTGCCCACCGCCCTTTTAACATAATAAATAGATTGATAAATAATACTCACTTTAATAAACATACTTACATAGTGATATTTTGATATTTTATATATGAAATGTTTGCATTGCATGCGAAAACAGTAATAAGTTTAATTGTAAAGGAAGAAATGTGTTATTATTAAAAGAAAAAAAAGTAACACGATTATACTATAACTTTGATATGCTTTCGACTTTATTTGTATCGCAAACTAATGTGTAAATACTGTATTATCAACCCTCAATCATTGTGTTGGGTATGTCTTGGAGACAAGTGAGCCTGCAATGGTTTTTTCATCAAACAAGTAAACTCTTGTTTCTCACTCAAGTCTAATCCTCCTCCAGCTGACCACTCAAAATTCCACACCAAATTTCCCACAAAATACGCCAAATGAAGCATCGCCAAACTCCACCCTGGACAAATCCTTCTTCCTACTCCAAATGGCATCATCTTATCTCCCTACTCCGGTAATTCAAACTCAATCTCTTCTTCGTTACTCCTCAAAAACCTCTCTGGCTTGAACGCCATCGGATCTTCCCAAACTCAGGATCCCAACCCATTGGGCCACCATGACATTCACCACACCATTTTTGGGCACTAAACAGCCGTTCAAACTGGTCTTCTGTCACCGCATGTGGCAGCACAAAATGGGCCGGAGGGTGGGCGCTTAGGCCTTCCAAAACCACTGCTTTCAGATACGGCAACTTCTGCAATCTTCTTCTTTTATGGCTCTTGGTCTTGAGGGTTTGAATATTTTCATTAGATTTGTTTCATCTCCATGTAGAGCTTCTCCTGTTTCAGGATACTTCACTAAGTTTGCCAGGATCATTGAAGAGCTGTGGATGTGGTGTCAGTTCAGCATCGAAAAACTCTGAGCATAAGCACTAATTCACTTTCTTCAAGCTTTCTCTTCCTTCCGGGCTCAAGCAATAATGTATCAACATAAGATGGATTTCTGTTTGTTCAGGCTCGGATTCGTGTTAAACTTCTCTTGTTCATCTCTTCTTTCCTTATGAGCGGGATCAATACGTTTTCTTGTCTTGAGTAACTGATACAGTCTTCCCAACGCTTTCGAAACAAATCTTTCCGACGCTCGGCCAGAAGTTGAGAATCTGAAACCGCGAGAAGCTCAAAAGCAGATTTCTTGCACACGTCAATCTCTTTGATTTGTTCTTCTTCAAGCTTATCACCGAAGCACATGAGTGCTAATAAGGAAAACATGGCGTTCGAACATGATCAACCAACAAACAACACCAGATTTTGAGTGAGACTTAAGTCTGTTTACGAGAATTCCAATACCCACTTGCGTGCATGAGAGAAGACTTGACACGCGGGGGGTGGAGGATGTCGGGGTGAGGTTACGGCGGAGGATCCGCCACATGGGGCCATAAAAGGCGGAGCTGATGTTATGCTGATTGCAGAGACGATTTTGTCCGAGGGGAGAGCCGTGGGACGGTCAGCAAAGATGGAGCTATTTTGAATCAAAGCCTGAGAGCAAGAGAGCGATCAGCAATGAAATTGCAGGTTTGAGCACTTTGAGAGTGAGACGGGGCCATATTCAAGCGAGTTTTCTGAGGACGGGCTCAAGTTCGATAAAGTTTTGATAATCAATAGGAAGTTTCCGATGATGGGAATGGTGGGAGGGCCGGGAGGGAGGTTGGGAGGGTTTTTTGGTGAAATGGTTGAAGAAGAGTGTGATGATTGCAGAAATGAAGAGGAGATAGGATGAGGAACCAGGTTTCCATGGTTGAAAAGTGAAGAAGAAAGTAGGGAAAGTGGAACTTTTATTTATTTTTTGGTAAATGGAATAGTATAAAGAATAAAAGAATGAGACCAAAGAGTCTCTAAGAGTTTAAGCGTCGGACATTCCCAGGAACCAAAAAAAAACCAGCAAAAACCAAAAAATCAGCATTTACAATCCTGAAAACCAGCGGCTAACCTCACGGAGGCTTAAACAGCAGACCAGCAGCACAAAAAAGGCAGGACTGCGTCAAAACAGAAACAGCCTGTACCATTTACATATGAACACAGCTAACAAAACATATCCTGCATGTCAGAGTGTAGCCCCAAACCTTGTAATCAGTCCACATATCAGCAACAACATGCACACCTGTCACAGGGAAATTATGGCAACTAAAAGCAAGTCTCCCTCTGAAGCCACATCCAAAAAAAGGTCCAAACCCATTAACAGCAGCAGCCTCATACAGACCTCAAACAAACAATCAGCCAACCGCAAGGCCATACTAAGTAGTATCTGGCCTCCTACTGGAACCACTTGACAGCCAACCGAGAGCCACTCAACAGCCCACATAAATTCCTGACACCCGCAAAAGCGTAATAAAACCCGAAAATGGGCGACAGCATGTCCAAATAAAGATACATCCAAAGGCCATGAGGGGGCAGCAGCAACATCAACCAAAAGGAGCAAGAGATACAAGGGACATGTAATAATTGAATCAGGCATCCTGCCGAACATAAATAAGATCCCCCATAATTTGTGTTGTTCTTCCTGGATAAGGTGTCAAGAGCCTATATAAAGAAATTATTTATTCATTCCTTTTAATGACAGGATCATTATTCAAAGGTATTCCTAATTCGTCGAGTGTATGATATCACGAAAATATTGTTAAATCAATTCATGCTTATCAAATAGTTATAATTATAACAATATTTAATTTAAAGATAGAGATAATATAATAAATTTTATAAATGGTATAAAATAGATGTGCGTTGTTTGTTATAAATGCCAAGAATTGCAGTATCCGTGCTGAATGTTGTTGGTTCATTTCCTTGCTATGAAATATAACAGAAGATAAGTTTAGACACACATTCACTAATATCAACAACTTATTTTCAAACTTTTAATACATGTATACAGTACAATACACTGCTACTTATGTATATCAATCTATGGCACTCTTATACAAGGGTGTACCAGCATTCAGACATGCATCATCTACCTTCATCAATTAATTCCAATTATCAAAAAACTATAAATACATGAAATGCCACAAACAGCATCACACAAAAAGGGAATTGCAAGTAGCAGGATCTTCAGTAAATAAAACAACTTCTGGAAAAAAAAAAAAAAAAAAAAAACTTACCTTCTGTGTCAATAGCAGCTGAATCTATGTCAAATTGCGCTCATTTGATGATGTGTGAAGTCCCAAGAGGGATTAGCTACTATGGTCAGCTTTTGAAATGCTTTTTCCTTTTTGATTAATCCATTCATTAAATCATGTAGGTCGATTTGTTTATAGTGATACCCTTTGTGTGTGTTTCCTCAAAAATGCGCATGCATCCTGTATTTTGTTGACTACAGAGCTCATTGATCTGCTTCAGTAAGCAATGGAACTTGAATCAAACCCTCAGAAGTCCAGTAGTCACCACAGTCTGCCCTGTACCAGTTGAATTCGCAGATCCTTTAACTTTCCTTCTTCAACCATTTTAGACTTGAAATCCTCTGCTCTTGAAGCCTACCGGCATCAGTTAGTGCCCCATGAATGATAGTAAATGTATAATGATCAGGCCCTAATTTCTTTTCTTTCATTTCAGATAGAGATCAAATGTATCCTTGATCTCCCTTCCTTGCATAGACTTGATATCATCGTGTTGTAAGTAACTGCACAATTGTCCTCCTTTTGAATCCATGTGTTGAAGAGGTTAAGAGCCTTTTCTAGCATACTTCTCACCAAGCCCTCTAAGAAATATTACAGGTAAATATGTCAGGTTGAAGAGTTCTCAAACATTTTGTTGTGAAACTGAAATGCTTTTTCAACTTGTCCCTTCCTGTAGTACCCATGAATAATGTATTGTATGTGGTTTCATTCAGGATTAAACCATTCTCAAGAAGCTATTCAATTGTCAGGCTTGCTCAGTCTTTTGAATGACATAGCGCGGCAATTATAATGTTATAGGTAACAATACTAGGAACAATCTTTTTCTCCTTCATCTCATCCCAAAGCTTCAAAGCTTGGTCCACCTTTTCGTCCTTAAATATCCGTGATAAGAGTACCATAGCTCACCTCATCAGATAATAACCCCTATTGCTGGCATATTAAGCAACGTCACCTCATCAAGCTTCTTCTCTCACAAAGAGTGAAGAATAGTATTGAGTGTAAAACTATTCATCTTCAACCTTTCCTACCCATCTCATCCATTGTTTCTAAAGCTTCATCCATCTTCCCTGCTTTGACAATATCCATTTATCAAAGTATTGTAAGTAACAGTATCTGGTGGAAACCCACTTTCTTCCATTTCCCTCATAGTATTACTCGCTTCTTCTGTTCTGCCTTCTTTCAAATACCACTTAATTATAATATTATGAGTAACTGCATCCTGCTTCACTCCTTTCTCACCCATTTCATCAATCAACTTAAATGCCTCAAAACTACTACCCGATTCAAAACACCCATTAATCATAGTATCATCAGTAACCACATTAGGTAACAACTTCAAATTCTTCATCTCATTCCCCCACCTAAAAGCATCCTCCAACTTTCCGTCATTACACATCCCATCAATCAACATATTATATGTCCGAACATCTGGCAACAAATTATTCAATGTCATCAATTCCATCACCTTCACTGCCTCCTTCAACCACCCCAACTTACAATACCCACATATCAAAATATTATATATGCTCCGATTGGGTAACAATCCTTTATTCTTCATATCTAACAACAAATTCCTAGCCTCACTCAACCTACCTTTCTTACACAAAGCATCCAATATCGAATTATACGTTACATTATCAGGTAAACAACCAAAACCCTCCATTTTTTTCAGCCACTCAAGTGCATCCACAAACTTATTCTCCAAGCAACATCCATATATCAACACATTAATAGTACTAGTATTAGGTTTAACTCCAAGAACACTAGTCATATCTTTAAAAACTCTATTAGAAAGCAAAATTGATTGCGAAGAAGGGTTTCTTACCAGTCCATTAATAAGCGCATTGCAAGTCAACAATCTAGGCTAAACTTTCAACCTCTTAATTTTACTGAAAATCTGAGCAGCCAAGGGGGGCTTCTCGGACTCAACATAGCACTAATACACGTGTCGAATAGCGGTTTCGACAGCTTAATACCATATATCTTGGGGTTCCAGATACTGGGGTTAAAAATATAGCTATGAAGAACGTGTTGGCGATCAGAGTTGATGAAAGAAACGAGTAAAGATTTGGCGTCCAAGTACTGTGATATTGAAAGAGTGATGGGAGGAGAGAAAGAAGAGGGAGAGGGGATTCTGTGAGAGAGGGAAATAAACGGGACTGGGCCCATTTGAAGAAGGAGAGGACAGTGTTGGATCTCTGGGATAGGGATTTGGAAGAGAGAAGAGAGAGGAGGAGTGGCTGATTGAGGTGTCGAATGTGTGGAGTGAGTGACTCAAGTGGAGTTGTATCTTTCGCTAGAATCTCAGTTACGGTTCTTAAGAGTTGTGGTTCAGTTGATTCCTGGTTTGGGATTGATGGTAGTGGTGGTGGTGGAGTTTTGCTCGTGGCAATTGTTTAGGCGTTTTGGGGTTTATCTGGAAATGGAGGGAGAGAGAAGATGCAGGGCAAAACTCTGAGAATTGTTTAAAATTTTAAAAGGATTAATTTCACTGACCTTCCCTGATCTTTAAAGTACCCTTATAATATGAGAATTATTTTCATTTCCCTTGATATTTTATTTAATTATACGGACCTCCCCGCGCAGAATGTCAGAGAAATATGAATGTGGTTATCTTTTGGAAAGAAAGAGACCAATTTTGCTGTGTTGGTTATTTTTATTAAATCAATGTAAATGTAATCATTCATCTTTCAAATTTCAATAAGCTAAGACGATATAGTTTAACGTAATGGTTATTCTATCAGTTGATTTGTGGTAAGCTATGTTTGGAACTGGATTCTGTTTGGCTTATATTTCCCAAGAAAATGGAGGATTCAGGGAAAATAAAGAAGCAAGAAGAGGTGGTGAAAGTGAAACAAAAGCCAAAAGAAGAAGCTTTGCGGAATTTGCACAAATTCAAAACAGCTAAGCTTTCTGGGTTTTGGTCTAATTAGTCTAATCAGCCAAGAGAGAGTATTGAGAAGTTCTGATAGATTTTGATGGTGTAATCATGCTTTTCAAGAGGTTCTACATTATGCACCTAGAAGATCGACCATTGAAGTTTTCAACAATTACGCACCAACCATGCGAGTGTGACTCAGTGCAGTGGATCAATTGGATTTTGGGGTCTGGAGTCGCGAAGCCCCTCCATTGTTGATTCAAAGGAAACTGAGGGTGGGACAGGCATTGTGCAGTCTCACTGTGGTCATTTGACTCATCTCCATATTCCTCCTACTGTTGAAGTAGATGTGCACGTTTTCAGAATTGCAGGCCCTAAGTTTCTTAAACTTAACCATGGAACCTGGCATGCGGGGCCTTTGTTTGAGGCAGACAACATGGAATACCGTATTTATATATGATTCTCTTGTATTTTTTATTTAACTGAAAGATTATATTAAATAGCCCAAACTTTAAGCCCAAATAATAGATAGTTGTTCCCTAATTAGGACTATTTTGATATAATTATATCACTTAGCTTAGGAGAGATTACGGGAAGAATTGAGTAAGACATTAATGAGGAGCTTGCACAATCGATTGAACCAATGGGTAATTTGTGAGCTGAATTAGCTAAATTAGAAGAAAGATGTATCAGATCTTAACTAACTATTAACGTTAACTGAATGTTAATAGAAACAACAACTGATTAACGGAGGGGAGTTAAACTTTTCCCTCCTTTACTAACGTCTTCCCTCAAGCTGAACTAGGGAGGAAATATAGGCATTCTCACTACTTTGGTAACAGATACCCTACTTATTTTAGAGGCCAATAGCCTATCATGGTTGGCATGCAATGAAAGAGAAAATGAAGCAAGTGAAGTTCTTCATTGAGTACATGCTTCCAAATGTCTTATAAAGGAAAAAAAAAAAGAATCTTTGAAATTAATTTCTTATGTGTCATCTTCAAGAGTTTATGTTATAAAGAAGTGTAAAAATGAAAAATAATGGTCATCAAAGCTTCAGAAAGAGGAAAATGGAAGATGAAGGGAAACAACGGGAGAAGAAGAGTCTCAATATTGAAGAATGCGATGAGGAAATATAAAAAAATCCATTCATTCCAGACCTGATTGTAAAAAATTTTAACTCTGAGATTTTTCTATCTTTTCCCACCTCTAAAATTACACTCAATATATTCACTCTCCCTTTTACTATGTATATATGCAAGTATGTTCACTAGATTTTCTAATATTTTATTACCATTTTCCTTGAAATGTTGATATTTTATTTAGCATGATTTATTTATTCATTTTATGCTTCTATATCTTGTAATTTTCTATATCTTTATTCGCCCAAAAATGAAACCAAACAATGGTAATTCTGTATTTGGGAAGACTCTAATATGTTGGAACTCTTTATCAAAAAAAGGTGAACATCAAGAAATAGGATATCCAAATTCATTGAGATCCTTTGTAATTTCATTCTTCTAATAGGATCATTTATATTTTAATAGGCATGTAATATACAGGAAGAAGAAGGGGAAGTTGTGGAGCTCGAAAACCCAGAAAAGGACAATACTAAAGAACATCCTAATTCCAAAGGAAAAATGATCATGAGTGACAGAACAATATGAACAGTGAGTAAACTTAAAACCTTAATGTATAAACTTGTGTGCCTATATAGAATACATTAAGTATATAGTTGCTATCATTCTTAACAAGATAAACGGATCCAAATAGAATATACCTTCATCTTTTTGAGCTTCTAATTTGACTGAAGACACCAGCTGATGAATGTTTTATGAACTTTTATAAACATTAGTTGAAGTAATTTATTTTGAGAGCTAAATGAATGAAGAAAAAAATAATAATGTTTGGTTAGAAACTTTTTATGTAATTAAAAGTTTTGACATCCATATGGCTTATTGCTGTTTAGTATGAGTGACAAGAATAATTAACAGTGAACTGTGTTGGAAAAACAACTTTTTTTTTTTTTTTTCTGTGCCTAGGGGTGTCTGAGTTAATTTGTGCACACCTCGACTAATCTCTTGAGATCCTAAAATTAACAATCGGATAAACCTTCCAGTGACCAACCCTATTAACAACCCAAGGAAATAGAATTTAAAATCTCTTGAATAATAAGTCTAAGAGTCCCTATCACCCCACCTGCCCACACAAGGTTTTTGTTGACAGATTTTTTGGTAAGCAAATATCAAGGGCAACAAAGCAAAATTTATCACCATTTTATCGCTACTTGTGCGTAAAAAAAAACAAAAAAAACAAAAATCATCGGCAATTGTATATGAGCTTTTATCCTTTTAAATTTTGAGAGTTTCAAATTAATCGATTTGTATTTGGTTGTCTACAACTAACTTATTATCTGATTGTTTGTTTCACTCTCATGTGACTCCTAGCATTAGATTTAAGCAAGATTTGTAGCTTGTTACCCTTCATCTCTAAAGCCAAATATCCACTTATAATTGAACTACAAACAAATTATATGTTTATTTATTAAAATAATCTATTAATATCAACTAATCTTGTGTAATGCAATCAATGAAACTCTTTAATTTAGCATTATAAGAGCACCTCCAATTGTGCTCTTTATTTTGAAGAGCATCTTTCATATAAATAAAGAGTATCTTCATTAATTTTAAAATATAAAGAACGCAATTTTTATTCAAATATAATAGACTCTTTAAAATTAATGAAGATGCTTTTTATTTTTAAAAAAGAGATTTAATGAGAGAGATAATTAATAAATAAAATACATAGGAACTTGTAGTTTATTAATTAAAATTAAGATAGAGAGTGAAATTTGACTCTCTAAATATGGAGAGTCAAACTCACTCTCCAATTTATATTTTAAAGATAAAGAGTATGTTGGACTCTTGTTTTTATGGATAAACTTTTTATAATAAAGAGTTTGAGTCATATAAAGAATCATTTAAAGATGGTCTAAGAATAAAGAGTTTGGGTTATATAAAGAATCATTTAAACATGGTCTAAGAAGTTTAAATATATATCACATAAATATGACAGGTTTGAAGAAGAGAAGAAAAAGTTTATTGAGCTATTATCTTCTGAAGAAAAGTGCATTAGTTCACCATTAGAACTAGAGAGATCCCAATTTGGCGACCTCCATTGGATCCAAGCAAGGTACTTTTTTTTTTAAATTGTTTCTTTCTTTTGTTTGTGATAGTATTGGTATTTTCAATTTATTTGTTCAACGCTTTGTTAAGTCAGAAGATATTGGATTAATTATCTTGGTAAGCTAGAAGTTATAACTAGCTTAGTTATTATAAAGCACTTCAAAAGTTATATTACGCACCAAAGCTAATTGATATTATCCGTATTTTTTTTTCTTTTCCCTTATGTTCTCTTTTTCTTTGTATAATATATTAGTTAACCATCATTTTTTAAAATACAGGAAGAGAGGAAGAGGAAGTTGTGGATCTCGAAAACATAGAAAATGACAATATTGAAGAACATGTTGATCCCAAAGGAAAAAAGATCATGAGTGATGAACAACATGAAAGGTGAGTTAACTTAAAACCTCTATGTATATATAACTATCAGTATATATGTGCACTAGTTCATTGAGATATTATCTTCTGGAGACAAGTGCACTAGTTCACCATTAGAACTAGAGATTCCAATTCGGCAACCTCCCTCGGACCTAAGCAAGGTATTTTTTTTTTTTTTTTCTTAAATTTCTGTTCAATAATTCTTGTTATTTTACATATTTTTCACAATTATTCTGATTAGTGATTACCTACTCATGGGAAAGAATTATATATTAAGTTACATTTTGTCTTTCAGTTATTTTATATGCTTAGAGTTTCTAAACAATAAAACTATACTTACTCACAATCTTACTAACCATCTTACTATCCTGATAAATATAACGGGAAGAACACACTCATTTTTACATAGTTTGGCATCAAGTCTACATCCATGGGACCACATTTAGAGGAAGCAAAATCACTATGAAATACTTATGAGTTCAAATACAAAGCAAGATAACCAAAGTTGTAAAACACTCGCTGTTTTCTGCATAACAACTCTATTTTTTTTGTTAAACTTCAAGTCATCACAACAAATTTCACGAATACAACAACATCATGTTGATGTAGAACTCCTCTCAGGATTCAACAATGAAGACAGGACAGTAACTTACACACAAGCTCTCGTCACAATGGAAACAGTATCCAAATATCTCACACAATGATAAGTGAAGAGGGTAATTCTAAGTCTACCAAAGCATAATTGAAAACCTTAACAAAATAAGAACCTTAGAGAATATTCGAAGAGGGAAACAAATGTAATCAGGTTCCTTAAAGAGAAAAACCAGAAATGAGTGAATATAAAGAGATCAATGCGTCAAGGGTTGGGGAACAAAAAAGTTAAATATTAACTTTTGTGTTTTTCTTTTTGCACAAGAAATTTTGGGACCATAAACAAAAGCAATATTCTTTTTCTTACATAGCAAATAAACAGTAGACAAGTGTAAAAAAATAAAACAAAATTTCTACGAGGAATAATATTGTCCAAAAGGGAAAACAAGTGTGTGAAGTTTGATTTGAGAAAAAATATATCTACCAACGGTATTGTGAACACACACATGTTAAAGGTGAACACCTAGTTCTCACACTTGTGAAGGTGTTCACCTTTAGTAATTGTTGGCAGAAGATAAAAAATAGTGTAAGACTCAAAAACAGGATCATAAGACTCAAAAACAAGATCATAAGGAGACAAAAACACTAACAATTTTCCATGCATATACCAGTTTAATTTTGCAAAATTTCTAGGTGCTTGTTGGAGTAGCCTAAATTTCATAGTATGGTGGAGATTTTATATTGTCTTATATCATATGTTTGGATAGAGAGAAAGTAGGAGAAAATGTGGGAAATTTAGTAACTAAGAGAACCTAGCTACTCTAGAGAATCAGACTCATACAATTGAGGGAATTGCTTGAAACTATATGCAATGTTTATCTTTAATTGTTCTTGCATTACCAACATTGGTTGCTGCATATTCACTAATTGGTTGCTTGATGATACACACTGAATTGAGAGAATAAGATTGCAAAGTTTGTTTTGAAGAAGTGCATATATATAATCTTTTATCAGCATCTGTTTATACGGAAACTTTTCTGTGAAATGAAAATATGTGTATTCGTTTAATCACAATGTATATTATTGTGATGTTTAACGTAAATTGCTTACCCACATGCTCTAGTTGAATTGGGTGTATGTGTTCATCTTACTGAAGACTTTTCTTGTCTTTTATAATATTTTATTGACATTTGCATCATATTTCTATTATTGGCTTAGTTACATTCATAATCTATAATCGAAATATGCTCTTAATTAATTAACTATAATTTATTTTTTAGAGAGAAAGTAATGCCCGATTTATAAGGTGGTCTGATGGAAGTTTTCAGCTACAGATAGGAGATGAAGCTTTTGATGTAACAAAGCAAGACATACAAAATGAAGAGAATCCTCTCTTTGTGCGACATGATGAACAGGTTATTAGTTTGTGTTTTTTCATCAATTAAGTTTGGCTTAAGTTAACTAGATCTAGCAGATTTTTGTATAAGATTAAAGAGAGAAAAGCATCCACAATTAAAATGTTTTAACAGGCGCTTGACAAATAGAAAGTAATAGGGATGGTATGGTGGTACGGCTCGTTGGCAAGTTGTCAGTAATTAGTGCTGTCATGTCACTGAGAAGAAAATTGATTAAAACTACAAGATGTTTATTTCATGGCCTATCAATAAGAGCCTTGTACATTAATTTATAACAGCAATTCATGACATGGTCGAGCACAATGTTCACTATTGTTCCCAACGGAAGTTTTATGTTCACAAAGAGCCTGCAAATATACAGTATTAATGTGCTGCATAGTCATCTTTCAAAAGATAAAGATGGGACCAAAACTGGGTTCCTTCAACTGAATTTCATGTTACTTCAGCTAAAAAATCACCGACTTTTACAAACTAGCTGACAACAAAAATGGAAATATCTTCTGGGCCCAAGAGGTCTAGACCCAACCTACCCACTGCCCTTTTAACATAATAAAATAGATTGATAAATAAATACTCACTTTAATAAACATACTTACATAGTAATATTTTGATATTTTAGATATGAAATGTTTAAGTGCATGCCGAAAACATGTAATATAAGTTTATAATTGTAAAGGAAAGATGTGTTATTATTAAAACAAAAAACATGTAACACGATTATACTATTACTTTGATATACTTTCCTAGACTTTATTTGTATCGCAAAACTAATGTGTAAATACTGTATTATCAACCCTTCAATCATTTTGTGTTGGTGTATGTCTTGGAGACAAGTGAGCCTGCAATGGTTTTTTCATCACAACAGTAAACTCTTGTTTCTCACTCAAGTCTACATCCTCTTCTCCAGCTGACCACTCAAAATTCCACACCAAATTTCCCACAAAATACGCCAAATGAAGCATCGCCAAACTCCACCCTGGACAAATCCTTCTTCCTACTCCAAATGGCATCATCTTTATCTCCCTACTCCCGGTAATATCAAACTCAATCTCTTCTCCGTTACTCCTCAAAAACCTCTCTGGCTTGAACGCCATCGGATCTTCCCAAACTTCAGGATCCCAACCCATCTGGGCCACCATGACATTCACCACACCATTTTTGGGCACTAAACAGCCGTTCAAAACTGTGTCTTCTGTCACCGCATGTGGCAGCACAAAATGGGCCGGAGGGTGGCGCCTTAGGCCTTCCAAAACCACTGCTTTCAGATACGGCAACTTCTGCAATTCTTCTTCTTTTATGGCCTCTTGGTCTTGAGGGTTTGAATACTTTTCACTTAGATTTTGTTTCATCTCCATGTAGAGCTTCTCCTGGATTTCAGGATACTTCACTAAGTTTGCCAGGATCCATTGAAGAGCTGTGGATGTGGTGTCAGTTCCAGCATCGAAAAACTCTGAGCATAAAGCCACTAATTCACTTTCTTCAAGCTTTCTCTTCTCTTCCGGGAGCTCCAAGCCCAATAATGTATCAACATAAGATTGGATTTCTGTTTGTTCAGGCTCGGATTCTGTGTTAAACTTCTCTTGTTGCATCTTTCTTGCTCTTATGAGCGGGATCAATACGTTTTCTTTGTCTTGAGTTATCTGATACAGCTCCTCCCAACGCTTTCGAAACAAAATCTTTCCGACGCTCGGCCAGAAGTTGAGAATCTGAAACCGCGAGAAGCTCAAAAGCAGATTTCTCTGCACACGTTCAATCTCTTTGATTTGTTCTTCTTCAAGCTTATCACCGAAGCACATGAGGGCTAATAAGGAAAACATGGCGTATCGAACATGATCAACCACACAAACAACACCAGATTTTGAGTGGGACTTTAGTCTGTTTACAAGAATTCCCAATACCCACTTGCGTGCATGAGAGTACGCCTTGACACGCGTGGGGTGGAGGATTTCGGAGGTGAGGTTGCGGCGGAGGAGCCGCCACGTGGGGCCGTAAAAGGCGGAGCTGATGTTGTGCTGATTGCAGGAGACGATTTTGTCCGAGGGGAGAGCCGGTGGACGGTCAGCAAAGATGGAGCTATTTTGAATCAAAGCCTGATGAGCAAGAGAGCGATCTGCAATGAAGATTGCAGGTTTGGAGCCAATTTTGAGAGTGACGACGGGGCCATATCTCAAGCGGAGGTTTCGGAGGACAGACTCGAGTTCGGAGAAAGTTTTGATGATCAATAGGAAGTTTCCGATGATGGGAATGGTGGGAGGGCCGGGAGGGAGGTTGTGGGAGGGTTTTTTTGTGAAATGGTTGAAGAAGAGTGTGATGATTGCAGAAATGGAGAGGGAGATGAGGATGAGGAACCAGGTTTCCATGGTTGAAAAGTGAAGAAGAAAATAGGGAAAGTGGAACTTTGTGTTGTTCTTGCTGAGGATAAGGTGTCAAGAGCCATGTATAAAGAAATTATTTATTCATTCATAATATTCAAAGGTTAATTCCTAATTCGTCGAGGGTATGATATCACGAAAATATTGTTAAATCAATTCATTCTTATCAAATACTTATAATTATTAACGATATTTAATATAAAGATAGATGATGATATAGTAAATTTGTTATAAATGGTATAAAATAGATGTGCGTGTGTGTGTTTTTGGCTATTCTATCGTTTCTATCCTACCTAAAATACATATTTATTTCAATCAAAATCAATTATTATTCTATTCAATTCAAAATATTTAACTTTTTTAACCCTTATATTTATTAATTTACTTAAACATCCCTAACAATAAAAGTTTATAAATTGATAAAAATACTCCTACCCATCCACATATTCTCGACAACCAGCTACCACCGTCGGAAGGTGGCCAGAATTTATCGAATGGTGCAAGATCGGCTAGATGTGGCAATCATGCACTGATTTGGCTTTTCTGGTCAAATCCACCATGGATCTGACCGAAAAAAAGTCAGATCTACGACCAAAGGCCTGGCTGTTGACAATCAGATCTACAGTCAAAGGTTTGGCCGTTGATGACCATATCTTTTTTTGCCTTCGTTGACGACTAGATGTGGCTAGATCTAGCCATCAACGGCCAGATCTTTGGTCGTAGATCTGGTCTTTTTCGACCAGATCAGTGCACGATCAACTAGATACATCCGGTCATACTCCATTTCAGAGACTTCGAGTCACCCTTGGGCGATGGTGGCCGGCTTCCGACATTTAATGGGTGGATAAAAGTGTTTTTGTTAATCTTCAATATTTTTATTGTAGAGGGTATTTAGCTAAATTAATAAATATAAAAGGTGTTTTGTTAATTTTTAAATCTTATTCTCGTAATAATAACTCAACTCAACTTTTTTAATAATACTATTCAAAATACTCAATCAAACACACCCTATAATACATCAAGGTACTCAAAAAAAAATATTTTTTTTTTTCTTAAGAATAATTTCCGTTAGATTAAATATTTGGAAATTGATTGATAAAATAGACGATAATGGATAAATAAATCTAAACCACATACAAGAATTATAATGAACAAGTTCACTAGATTTTCCAAAATTCTAGAAAATGAGTTGATGAAATTAAGATTGATGTGATTTATTTCATTAAACTAAAATGATATTTTATGAATAAATTCAATGGTATATAAAATCCCGACTAAATTGATATCTATATACATCAAAGAAGTAAGGGTTTATGAGATTACATTTGATCAACTCTTGGATCATAGTCAAGGGCTGATTCAATGGGATTCACTAAACCTTTAATTCTAGGGTTTGAAAAAGGGGACTTTATCTTCGATATTCTCAGTGGTTTATTGGTAAATAAAAAATAAATAAAAAATGACAGGAATAAATCTCAACCACACATGAATTATAATCAGACGTATTCACAGGATTTTTTCAAGACTGAAGAAATATTTGAAGTGGACAGGTTATGGCATTAGGGTAAGTTTGATTTAGAGCTAAGACAGCGAGTAGTTGTTTAATCAAACTCAAATTGTAGAGTTCATACTCTACTATAATGAAAACAAATATATGTATATATTTATATGCTTTTGTACAAAAACAAGGCTCCTTTTTCATTGATATTTATCAGCTACATATACAATAAAATGTGCAGCACAAAGTAGCATACGCCATGCAACTGGAAAATTGCTCTCTACCGATGTGGCCTCCTCTGAAGCCAGACATGGCATCAGTATACAGTCCCTCTACCGACGCAATGGGGCGTCGCATCCCTGAATTGAGAGACTGGTGAAATTTGCTTGCATGATATCTGAATATAGAGCTACTACTAAAAATTGTCCTTGACTGCTGCAAAGTTAGCCATATTTACACTGATATATCCATAGGATGTCCATTGACATGCATAATCTGAAAGCGGAGCCTCACGAGCTTCAATCCAGTTATATTATATACCTTGAAACAATTGGATATCATACTTCGTTTAAATCGCGATCAATGACTTTCTGAAATCCTGTTGCCTACACTAGGTCGCTAACTGATTTAACTGTGGAGTATATTTACCTTACACCCTGACTTCAACTACATCACCATCTTTGAGCTCTGTATTGGGTGAAACCAATTGACCATTAACCAAAACTAGCTTCCCTTCAAGCCCTACTCTCCTAGCTGCGTCTGCTGCAGTGCTGCCTGTTCTCAATTTCATTATCTCACCATGGGGCCAGCATACAATCACCACTTCCCCCAGAACGACAGAATCCAGACTACCATAAGAATTTCCACTGAGGTTTGACTGTGTCAGACTCGCATCAGATCGTAGTTGCTCTTCCCACTGAAGCATTGTCCTCAATAAGCGGACCTAGATTTAGGTATAAATTAGTTATACGTTCATCTATTCACAAAATTTTCACAAAATTTTTACCCCTACTTGCTCTCTAATGCTAACATAAACATGAAATTGAGATTATGCATTAAAATTAACATGAACACGAACTATCATTTACATGTGTAGGGTAAACAGTTTTGTAAAACAACACTAATATTTCCGTTCACTATGGTTATCTGCCTAGTAAAGAGACCTTTTAAAATGTAAATCACAAACTCCATGTCAGTGCAGATAAAATTAAAGCAAAATGGGAACTTGAAGATTTCCTGTGGGCATGCATGGAAATAGAAGGAAGAAAGTTTAAGATACTACTGAATAGTTTTCACTAATTTAAAATCAATAAAATCATCTTTGTAAAGTTAAATGTTTCAATGTAATCAATCTAAGGAAGGAAGAGTATACATTGGCAAGATAAACCTTAAATCCAGCTAACCATTTTGACTTAATACGATTATAATGCTCCCATAGCAGATAATTTCGCAAATACTACAAAGACAATCTAGAGTACTCCAAACAAACTTCCACAAATTAATTATCAACATGATGAACTTTAGTGTAGTAAGATAATTGTTGACAAACCTTGTTATTGATGCTAGCTTCCATGGAAGTTGAAGCAACAGAGTCTAAGCTTGGCCTAGATGTAATAGAATCAACCGGTTTGCCCTCAAAAACAGCAGAGACAACGGCCCAATATTCAGATTCTTCTTGTTCTGTTAAATGAGTGACCTGGATGAAGGTTGGCAGTAGGCGCTGAAACTGGTCTTGCTGCATAGGGAGAAAATTTTACAATAGAATTCTTAGTCGGTTCTTACATCATTATTTATCATTTAAATGCTAATATAATCAGAAAAAAATTCACTATAATCATGACTCAAGTACAGACATGCCAAAAGCACAGATTCACTTAATGCAGTGATTTTTTCTATATTCAAATAATAAGGTAAATAATTCACAAGTACTTTTACAGCTTCCATAAATTAAAATGATAAATTTTATAAATGTCATAACTTGAACATTCCAATCTAGAAAATCAAATTAATCAAGTCACAAAAAAAACCTAAAAATTTAATATATAAATGTATTGTTGCACCTATGTATGTATTATAGATACTTAATTAAGCGACATCATATGTATATAGCATCAGTATGCGAAGCTCATGATTACTTCATCTCAATAAATAGTAAACATACCCTGTGGTACATGCCATCTCGACAAAGTGTATACTTCTCTAGGCAAGTACACCAATCCCCATGTCCTGGTTCACGCCACCACTCATCCGACACCTGCAAAGCCAAGTTGATAACATTAAAAGACAGTGAGGTAATTTGAATAAAAACCTTGATATATTTACTGAACTTATGATAAACAACTACTCATAGTCAAATACTGCTAAATATATGCTAATTTACAAGTTAATTCATCTGCTATCTCAAATTAGAGTTAGCTTTAAGCAGTACAGATTATTGTTTCCAACTTTGATGTTAAATGCTTCAGCAATTGATCACAACTTTGTTGTTGAAGAAGTTGCATTAGATGTTTAAAGGATCTCGACGGATAATATAGAGCGATCAAGGGCCTAGGCAAATCTGAGAGACTATCTTGGTAATTAAGATTCCAATGTAGGAGAGCAGGATTAGGGGAAAAAATAATAGCATTCTTAACAGCCATATGTCCTAGTTCATACCACGGTTCAAGCTAATATCGTCAAGTTAACTTAATCTAAGAACCAAATTTTCTAAGAGATTAGTTTTTATTTCCCAGACTGCAGTTCTCGTTATTTGCCAATGGGAACTAGTATCTGAAACATTAATAGGAGAGGACTGTTACAAGTTCATCAAAACCCAATAGAACTATCCCTCCCCTCAAATCCAATATAATTCAACTATCTTATTCTTAATTACATTTTTATTTTTTTTTAACCATACTGAAATGAACCAAACCACAAAAATATTGTTACTAAAAATTTTAATCATCAAACCATAATTCTCTGCCAATATTTGAACGATTCAAGTAATTAAGAGACATAGTGAAGCAACTCAACCTTTTTGAATAACCTTGCATAAGCTTCCCAACTTTTTATCTGTAAAGAAGATCTTCTGTCAGCTACCACTTCAGAAGCTGCCAGTCCAAAGCTCACAGCAACAAGCAATTCTCTTCCACCCTTATCTACTCTGAAAATGCAACACTTATGCAAAGGTTAGTAACTGAAGGTTAATGTTGGATAGTAGTTACATTAGACATAACATTATGACATACCGAACTATAACAGCAGCAAGTATGTGGCTTCCTTCCACCCTGACGACTGGATGCCCTGCTTTCAGAGAACTGTATTTCATAAACAAATCATCATCTAAAGAACTATTATCCTCCATTTCTTTTGATAGATAAGAAGAAGCTTCTATATCAGACTCATCCATGCTGCTTGTGTACCGCAACTTGTTTCCAGTTTCTTTATATAGCCAGTGTGCAGCAAGCCCATGTTCAGCATACTCATGCATTTTCTGAAAAGGAGAATGACTAGTATTATAAGCCAAATCAAAATCCCTGACATGACATCATACAAAATTATAAACAAGTGCAGCACCTGCGTTCTTATCTGAACTTCCAAAGGTGAACTGTCAGGACCTTGGACAGCAGTGTGCAGAGACTGCAAGTAGCAAGTAAAAAAGGGTTTAGGTGTAAAATGTGACCCAAACAAAAGTAGGAACACATTTAAAAGATACAGCAATTTTATAAATATCCAGAATCAAACCCGTATTAGGTTAAAAGCAAATTACTATTGAATAGAGTGTGTGAATACCAACATACACAATCCCACACATGAAAGAGATTAGATACTTTAGTGGTTAAAATCAGGAGTATTCCTCAAGTGTGGCAACAATGAATTAAAGTGGAAACCCACACGCATGAGACCAAAAAGGCCCATACCAATTCAAAAGTTTGGTTGTGAACAGACGAATACCCATGAACAGGGAGGTAGCAGACCTTCATTTATGGGTAAGTTTGGTGGATGTCCTATATCAAACAATTGATCCAACTGACTTGAACTACTCCAACAACACGCATCAAAGCTACTTAAGACATGATAGAGAAATAACACTTCATATCTATTACATTAAAGCAACTTGGATCATTCTCCAAGCACAAAGACACATGATATGCCTATTCGGCCAAGTCATCCCTCTATCTGGCCATGTCACCACAAGATTTGGAGTTAAAGAAATATCTAAATAGCTTTTCTCAGGCTTTCTTTACTCTAGGTGGAAGTTATCTTTATAAATGTTTGTCGTGCAAGTATGCATATTGGTATCTAGAGTGAAGCATTGAAGGTGTAAAATGACCTGATAACCACTAGGCTTCGGATTAACAATGTAATCATCAAATTCACCATCAATGGGTGTCCAGAGCCTGCAAAGAAAGAATCCATCGTCTCACCACAATCAGTAGATCTTGTGAAAGTATATATGAAATACAGATATTTCTAACTCAACCTAGTTACTTAAAATATAAGATGAATGATAATATCCATAGAGTTAACAAAACTAAGCATCGAGAAAACAGGTTTTGATTTCCTCAGTCAAAAAAACCATTTTGGCTCTAATGAATCATGCCAAAATAATTTTTCCATCAAATGATAATACCATTGTTTACTGAAAGCAGTTTTGAATCACCTCTAATAGAATAAATCAACTTGCAATGATAAAATAGTAAAAGGAACACACTGGTTAACCTATGTATAATGTCTAGAAGATTGTAGCAGCACTGAATTGCAGGTCCATGAAGAGTTCCATTCTTATCTCCAACAACCACCCTCAAAGCACGTGCATCATATACTTTATGGATGCCAACATCTTTTCGTCTCATCTACATGAAGCAATGATACAAACACAATTAGTCATGACCAAAAAACAAAAAAAAAAAGAATCAATATGAGGGCTTTTTGGGACAAAATTTAACCCATGAAAAGAAGATTACTTTGGCCTTTATAACTTAACTAGCAAACTAAAGTAAATTGGAAAAAGAGCCAAGTATGACTTCATATCCAACAAGGCCTAGTCATTCAGCCACATTGCCCCTCAACTTAAGTTTCCTATTTTATATATTTTTGCTATATATGGTAAGTAATTAGACATGTTGCTCACTTTTCAATTAATAGGATAATCAGAGAAGAAAAAGGAAAATTAGCTAAAGGTGACATAGAATATGTACCAAAGACAACTGAATGAAATGTATAGAAAAATGAGAATTTCTGAAATCAGCAATCTCTTAAAAGAAGTGCAACACAGTAATACACTGTAATCATAGAAAAATAATACATATTCAGTGCTCACAAATCCAAGCTCCATGATTTATTGATAACAAGAGAACTCCNACCTATGTATAATGTCTAGAAGATTGTAGCAGCACTGAATTGCAGGTCCATGAAGAGTTCCATTCTTATCTCCAACAACCACCCTCAAAGCACGTGCATCATATACTTTATGGATGCCAACATCTTTTCGTCTCATCTACATGAAGCAATGATACAAACAAAATTAGTCATGACCAAAAAACAAAAAAAAAAAGAATCAATATGAGGGCTTTTTGGGACAAAATTTAACCCATGAAAAGAAGATTACTTTGGCCTTTATAACTTAACTAGCAAACTAAAGTAAATTGGAAAAAGAGCCAAGTATGACTTCATATCCAACAAGGCCTAGTCATTCAGCCACATTGCCCCTCAACTTAAGTTTCCTATTTTATATATTTTTGCTATATATGGTAAGTAATTAGACATGTTGCTCACTTTTCAATTAATAGGATAATCAGAGAAGAAAAAGGAAAATTAGCTAAAGGTGACATAGAATATGTACCAAAGACAACTGAATGAAAAGTATAGAAAAATGAGAATTTCTGAAATCAGCAATCTCTTAAAAGAAGTGCAACACAGTAATACACTGTAATCATAGAAAAATAATACATATTCAGTGCTCACAAATCCAAGCTCCATGATTTATTGATAACAAGAGAACTCCTCACTATATACTGTATCGTTAAAAATTCAAGTACCAATGTTATGGCACCTTTGGCATGAGGACAGAGATTAACTAGAAATCAATGTCATTCAATTCGATGTCAATGTTTACTTGTAATAGAATTTCCAAAGAAACCGGATATAATAAATACTACTGAACCTCTAAACAAATTCATACTATGGCACAATCTTTCATAAGCTTTTCCTAAATGAACACTGCAAACTAGGAACGTTCCATTCTGTCCGATTTTAGAATATATGGACAAGTTATCAATAGACTTTTAAAACTAAAGCATGGGGCTTTGAATTCATGGCTAAGGTGAAGAAATCAAAGCTCAAATGCTCTAGATATTATAGTTTTAATCTAACCACGAACTTCATTAGTACCTTGCTGAAGATACTATACAAACTTTTGAGTCGGCTAGATAAAGTAACCTCCATTCCTGGAACGTAACTGCAAGCATAAAACAAAGAAAGCAACTGAGCGAGAGAGAGAATTATTTTAGATGGATAACAGCTTCTCCAGTATAAACATTTTTAGATAGAAATAAAATTGATGCATATATAAAAATTATGTTTTCTTCACAATTTACAAGCAGACATGCTAATGGAAGAAGAGAAGCAAAACGCACGAAGTTGATATAAGTAACTCCTTCTCAAGAGCTTCCTCACAAACTTCCAGGGAAGCTAAAGCAATTCCAGCGTCCTGGACAACCTTGGCTTTTGTTTGACTGTCTGAACCTTTCCCAAGTTCATACAGAAATTTAGTCCGTTTCCTCCGATCTGATAAGATATCAAAAGGAACCACTGCTTCCAAAAGATCCTGCAAACAGTGTGTCACTGGATAAAATGACCTAAAGAACATCCATATTATCCAAGTACTTCCAGATACTACTGCTTCTCATTAATAAGTTACAATCATTCCACCACCCCCAGTGACCACTATATCTACATTGGAGAAAAGAGTTTATGACATAAAGGCCTATGTCATGAGGCCACTCAAAACCCATTTTAATGTAACAAATATGTTACATCTCAGTGAGATTCTTTGATCACTACCGTTCTGAATTTATAAATTTTTTTGTTCAATTTTCTAGAAGTTGCATGATCTTGAAAAGCAAGAGGATGAAACTTGTCACTTATCTCAACATCACTTCTATTTTATTGATAGGAAATGGTAAGATTTGTAATACTGAGGGGAAGAAAAACAAAAATGGACCATGGTTCCACAAGAACAGAGACAGAAGCAGCCCTCAAGGAAACAAAAACTTTTAAAACATGCATGGAAGTTTGAATCTGTGGCTAGCCAAACAATATAAACATGTGATATGTTCTTGGAACCAGCACCATGATATCACATTTCAAGATCAAGTAAAACATTTTGTAAAATTAGTAATTAATCCAAAAGCTAAACCTAACAGGTAAGAACCAATATTAGTATTTAAACTCTACCTTCCCTGCACTTGTACATGGACTGAATAAACCAGAATCAGAAAGAAAAGCTCTAACCATAAACACAATTTATTATATAATAAGGAGATCTGAACATAAGACCACTTGGTCAACTGAGCTCAAATACCATGTTAAGTTACCAATTGGTTAAAAAGCTTAAGCTGACATGTAAGGACCTAGCAACAGTAATCTCTAACACATTCAAACGTAACTGAACCTTTAAAGAGATATCAAGTATATGGGAGCAACCAATGTTTACAAACGATATCCATACCTTCATGCTTGGAATATCCTCATCAAATGCTGTAAGACTTTCGTCATCAGGAGAAGAAATCGTATCATCCAAGGATAGTGAGCTGCTTTTTGCAGATATTCTTCTTGGACACCCTACTCTATTGCTAGCGCTCCACATGGAAGCTAGATCAGCCCGCATCTTCCGGAACATTTGAGGCTGAACACAGTTTATTACAATACAAATTATACAGTTAAAAGATTCATTATTTATTACAAGACAAGAATATGATTCTAGAAAAGTGCAATATAGGAAATATAACAACTTAACTAAAATTCCTAGTCATATTATGCTACTGGTACAAATGCACATTAAGATGAGATTCTTAAAATATTACACATTACATATTCACATAAGCATAGCAAAACATTCAGCTTCCAGCATAATAAAAGTGCACTTGAAGCCCAAAAGATTATGAGCAGACCTGAAGAACAGCAAAGCATAGATCTTCCAGTTCAGCTTTCAGTGCCCACAGACCCAATCTGGAAGCAAGTGAGCACCAAATAAGTAGAGTCTCCTGTGCTACAGCTAGAGCCTTTGACGGTGGCAGAGCATAGCTGAAAGCAAAATTCACAATCTAGGAGTCCAAATCCGTATAATAGTAGAAGAAACCCAAAAATTAGTGAGATCAACCATGCCATTTCAAGAATTTAAATTTTCTTTTTTATATTTGATTACAAATTTTTCAGACATCTAATGACCAGTAATGAGTAATCATAATAATTATCAACAAAGGAAGCGAAAGATCTAGAGGATCAAAAAAAGGGGGGGTAGAAAGTAAAACATGTTGGTTGCAGAAAACATGTTGGTTGCAGACTAAGTTATTATTCAGATAGAAATAGAATGTAATCACTGTTTAACAGGCATAAATTAATGTTTCAAAGTGAAGATTCAGTACATGGTTCTCATGTTGTGAAGACGGTCGGCAAGCTTGATGAGCACCACACGTGGATCATCAACCATCCCCAAGAGCATAACTCGTAAGTCATTGGCCTTATGAAGATTAACAACAGCAGTGTGAGAATCAATAAACCATCTCAGCCACTTGCATTCATTTGTTTGTCTTTTCAGAAGAGAAAAGTCATCTGTTATACATCTACTACCTTATGCTACTGTATTCATTAAACTAAAACCCACAAATGTATCTTTTATGTGGTATATAAAGAGAAAAAAAAAATTCCTTCTTAACCAGCATACTTGAATAGAAAATAATTGATATCTTGAGGCTTATTTAACTACGTGTTTCTGAATGAAATTGAAAGCAATAAGTATGTGCTCAATCTCTTCCAATGGACCTCACAACCACAATCTTCTACAAGCACTGACACTCAGATTGTGCACGTTGTTCTGAATTAGATTATAATATATGACAGATTCCAATACATGACTAGATTAATCAAAAGATGACACATCAAATGTGACTCAAGTTTACATATAAATCTACAATTTCTATATTTGTGGCAAGGTTAATAATAATCAAAATTCAGGATTCATATCTTGTACCTCTTCATGACCAAGGGTACCCTGATCCACATTTATCCTTCGATGTCTCCGGAGTAGCTGCAAAATTATGTGTTAGTTACAGCAACAACAGGAGAACACCAGAGAAAACAGGGCAAAATTTGTCACGGGATAAAGGCATAGATCTCTAGAAATTGCAAGCATGTGATTAACATAAGAAGATTTCTTATTGAATCTATAAAAAGACGTCATAATAATGCGACATCAGGAAACAACAGTAATGACAGTAATAATGTCCTTCATGTCACAGGACAACCAAATAAAACAGAAAGTAAACAAGTTTATTAAACAAAACTATCCACTTTAAGCAGCATCAACCTTAACTTTTCCCATCCTGCCAGCATTAAATATTCCTTACAGGTAGATGAACTTCAAATCTTCAATAAATTCAAATATGCAACTTCTGTACAAATGCAGTGCATAAAGAGAAACACAGAAATAAGAAGAAAGAACCAGATATAATGGACAAAAGCCATCGAAAAAATTTTAAAAGGAAGTAGAAGACAAGAAATAAGCTGGTGGAGATATCGTCTAGCAATATCTGAAGACAGACCAGCACATTATTCCACTAATAATTTCACTTCTGGTTTTTCCTTTTTCCCATTATTGTTATCAATAGAAAACAATGGGCTACAGGACTTGAGGCAGCCCTCTCCTCAAAACCCAACCCATAGTCCTATAGACAGAATTATAGATCTTACGATAAACAAAATGACAGAACCACTAGCATATGAAGGAAAGTACATCGTTTCACTCTCAAGAAGAGCAAGGAAAAGAGAAAATAATGATAAGCTTACTGAAATAACCAGTTTGTAATACCTGATTTATGTAACTTAATCTGGAAACCCCAGCTACCAGTTTCGCAACATCATCACCAAACTCTTCTTCTACACTGCAGAAAGTTTCACATGTATCGTCCACGACATCATGGAGAATTCCAGCCACAACTGTGTCAACAGCCTGCATCAGACTTTAAGATCTTAGCAAGGAGTTAATGGCATAATAGTTTGAGCAGCTTTTGCTGCAGATTGACAGTGTTACATAACTTCAAATTTTCATTTTCTAATATTGTACCATGGAATAATGTAGCAAACTTCTATTAACTATATGCTCAAAATCATAAATTGCATGTAGAAATCATAACTGGTAATGAAATTCCAATAAGCCCACTTTTCTGTAGCATGTTTGTTATAATTGCAATCCAGAGATGTTGCATATAGCAGCAGACAATGGGACTGTGCAGCCCCACTTTCCTGAAAGAGAATTATAGTAAAAACCAGCCCTCTGTTTGTTTCATTATTTTCCATTATCCTACCCTATTATCGTATTTAATCTTATCAAAATACATATTTATTTCAATATTCAAAATTCTATTCAAAACCTAATCTTATTCTATTCAACTCAAAACATTAACAATTATTTTTCTCAATAAAAGTTTTAAAATTAACAAAAACACCCCCACCCACCCAAGCCACTATCACCTGCTAGCAGCCGCTATGACCTGCTAGCAGCCACTACCGCCTGTTAGCAGCCACTACCGCCACCGCTATAACAACGAATGACCGGCTAGATCAGGGCGATCGTGTGCTGATCTGTCTGTTTCTGCCAAAAAAGATATGGCCATTGACAACGGCCAGAGATCTGGCCATCAACGACGGCCATATCTTGGCTGTCGTTAGGCCTTCAACGGCGACCAGATGTGGCCATCAACGGCTAGATCTGTGGTCGTAGATCTAACTTTTTTCGGACAGATTCAAAATGAATCTGGCCAAAAAAGGTCAGATCAGCTACTGACCGGTCAGATCTAGTCGGTCGTACGCCACTCCGGCGATGGTGGCCCGTTGCCGATAATATGAGGGTGGGTGAGGATGTTTTTGTTAATTTATAAACTTTTATTTTTTTGGGGTGTTTAGTTAAATTGACAAACCTAAAAGGTTAAAAATAATTTAAATATTATTCAGAAATGTACAAAAAACTTCTCAGAATCATATCCTATTTTCCAAAAATGCTATTTAGCATAGAATGCTATTCTAAATAACTAACCAAACGGAGCCCAGATTTTTCTTAGACATAATTATGCCATCCTGTTAACATTCATACACTTTATGCACTTCAAAATTTTAAAAGGATTAACAAAAACAAAGTTTTATTTCTGAAGCTGCCAAAAGATTAGAAAAGAAACTTCCCAAACTAATGGGATGCTTTTATACCCTGAATTTGACCTGCATGATACAATTCATTTTTCAGATGCTTGTCTCATCTTATATTTAGCATGGCACGATACATTTCTTAATCATTTTTCATTACAGCTACATATTAAAATGAACATGTTTCATTCTCGGAATGAAACAATATAAACACAAGAAATCTCAAAAATTAAAACTATAATAGGTAACGATAGAAATGCATACACGTTTGCCACTTGATGGGACCAGCATGGCTAGGATTCTTCCAGTATGGATACAATGTGACAAATAAGGATCTCCAGTTTTGCGGAACTGCCCATTGTGAGCTTTTTTAGCAAATGCAATAGCCTTTTGCACCTGCCTTCACATATATGGTTTTAGTGGCAGAAGATGACAACATATATGCAAGTCATGATATGAGAGAGGTGGTACACCTTTGCATCAGTAAATATAGGGTACCCTGTTACGTCAACTCCATCCAGTATAAAGGAACCTGCAACTCTTCAATATAAATAACTCAGTGAATAATTAAGTGAAATAAAGAAATAATATACATATAACATTCACCCTGAGTCATCTTATAAGCTAGCTTGAACCCTACTGAATGAGACAAATCTTATACTTACAGCATTCTTGGAAAGATAAACTTAAAAAGCAAGAACAAAATAATAAAAATACGTAAGATTGATATATGCACTGCTATTATCAATACTGAAAATCGACGCATGCTTTTAGGATTTTGCCACGTTACCACCCACTAATATTATTAAGAACATGAAACTTGGAACACGAAAAGCAAGATTCCAATGTTATAAATTTACCTTCCTTGTTGCAACATATATTTTATCACAAGTTGATATGCAATAATACAACCTAACATTTTAAGTTACTAATCTAACATTGTTCTAAGTAAAACAATACGGACCAGTAACATAGCTAGTTGCTTCAATAATAAGGGAAATTGTACGTTTATGTGATTCAGTAATGTTCAACATGTACCTTAGAACATAATATATCTAACAGCAAACTGTTATGAAAGTATAAATGATAACATAATTAAAAGAAGAAAAAAAAACCTCTAAATTGGTGCATTTTGAACTTGCCTGGTGACACAGTGTGAATTTTGAACTAAGCTCATTATAAGTTTCATATCCAGAGTTATAAATTTTACAAATTTTCAACGTTGAGATTCCAACGCTAGAATTTACACATACAAAACTTGACAAATTATACTAAACATTGAATCAAAAATTAAGAATAAATTAAACAGATTCAAATAGATAACGTGGAAATCACATGACAGAGCAGCAATTAAACTGAGAAAGAAGATAAGAAACAAAACATACCAGGTTGTTCTTCAAGTTTAGGCCACAAGAAATCGACCTTAGTAGAGAGACAAGCACCGGAGGCAATAGCGACGGCGGTGACAGCGACTTGCGTGATGGCGGACGTGACGGCACCATGGACCTTACCGGCGGCGGTCGCGGCGGCGATGACGTTAGCGGGGTCAATAATGCAAGTGAACCTAGGGCGGCGGGGGATGTTGCGGCGGAACTTGTGGAGGAGTATCGGAAACGGAGAGGTCTTGTGCGCTAACATTTTCGCTGTTGTTTATGAAGAGATGAAGATGGAGAGGAAGGAAAACAAAAGAAAGAATCTTAAAAAAATAAAAAAATAAATCAAATAAAAAAATCTGGAATAATCAAGATTCAAAAAATTTGTGGTGGGGTAGGGGAAAATGAATGGCTGGGATTTAAGATGAGGGAAATAATAATAAATAAATTATTATAATAATGATGTGGTTACATGGTTTGGAGGGAAGGAAAGTGACAGTTAAATTTTGTGGTAAAGATCGTTCGGATTTGAAAAACGGGTCGGGTGAGGAAAAAAGGAAAATGCTCTCGTTGAGAGTCGAACTCAAGACCTCCCGCTTACTAAACGGGTGCTCTAACCAACTGAGCTACGAGAGCCTAGCTATTATAGATTTGTGTATAATAATACAAATAGATAAACAAAAAAATATTTTACATTCCCTTAATCAAAAGAAAACTAATTTTTCAGTTCATAAGGAGCAAGGCCTATATAATTGTGGATCAAATATGTCCTTGTCCTTTCACAATGTCTTTCTTTTTGCAGCTTAAGATGTGATTATGATTATTGTGCTAGAAAATTAGTAAAATGAGGTATGAGTTTATTGTTAGCATAATATTACACATACAACAAATTTATACAACATTCTTCATACAATATGATGTGACAAACAATAATTAATTGATTTTAAATTAAAAATAAATTTTTACTCAATCACATTTTATCACATCATTTTGTGTCTAAAAATATTGTATGAATAGTATTAGTTAAAGGTTGTAGTAGGATTATCTTAAGATTTAAAAAAAAAAAAAAAAAAGGGCCCAACTTTTGAGACAATCGAAGTAAAATAAAATAAACATAAAGTCCATCAGAATTTAAATATAAAGTTTCGCTCCATTGGGTTTACCTTTTCTCTTTACTTTAGCTTAACATTCAATATGGGACAATAATAAATATCTGTTTTTTATTTTATCTCGACATTTTATTATATCCTAGTCTTAAGTGGGCCACAAGACCACCTATTATTTTATCCAATGTTTTAAAACCTAACCTGGAGTGAAATCTAGCAAAGTTGTCAGGTCCTAGACTGATCGGTTTGACCGGTCGATCAAACCAAGTAACAAAAATTTTAAAATTCAACAAATACAACCCTAAAAATTATAGATAAATCCTTACAGATTTGAAATTTAACAAACACACTCCAAATATAAATCGACAGTCGACTGATTGACAACGACAATACCCTAAATATAATCTCAATCATCCCTAGAGTCCACCATTGCACACACCCCAAATACAAATTGACGATCGCCTATTTTTTTCAATTTCTGATCATTAGAAATCAACTCTTTCGTCACCATTGTATTCACTAGCACTTGCTCTTCAAAAGCTCTAACATTCCGACCTTCAATTGTTCGTTAATCATCATCCCAATTTATAGGGTTTTTGGTGAATAGTGAAAAGGGTAATCTAACCCGATGAAAACACTAGGTCCCGGTTGAACCGATTCAACCGACCAAGCCAAACGGGGTTTTAAAACAATGATTTTACCTCACTCTACTTTGATGGTGAAATAGTCCAAAAACATAATCACGTGTTGTCATATATATCAAATTTTCTCCTCACCTACTATTAATCGAACACTAATTACCCTTTATAACCACCGCCATGGTGTGCGGTTTTTAAAACCAATCATACATGTTATTATTTCATTAAACGGTCTCACATCGGCAAAGTAACCATATATGTCATTGTTTTATTAGATGATCTTGTCATGTCAACAAAATAAATAAGGCGATGAGACCATCTCATATAAAATACTGAGTGAGAGAGAGAGCATTTCAACATCATTTACCTTAAATCTAGGGGCATATACAGCATGTATAAACCCGTAGAGTCAAGTTAATTGTGATAACAGGTTTCATCTGAATATACATTGGAGGAAGTCACACATCCAATTGCCAAAGTATGGTCAAAGGTAAGGAACCACATTAGGCTTCATTAGCTATAGATAAAACCCAAAAGAATTTGACGACAGTCAGGACTTCCCACAGGGTAACTAAGCATGACTCTCAAGCTTCATGATTGAATTATCCTCACGACATCATATAAACCTGCTACGGTAGGAAGATTGATGAGAATTTCTAGTCGTACCTCGTGAAAGGAAATCTTCTACAAGGATGATATTGAAGTGGAACCACAATGTACAAGTTTTTGACTGCTAAAGAGGTAAGAATTTCAACCTGGAAGACTAGATTGTCGAGGTGCCTGCAGATGAGTATCCGGCAGCTCTCATCTCCTTTAGAGTTGAAGCCAACCAATCCAAGCCTTCATAAAGTCCATCTCCTCTAAGTGCACAAGTCCCTTGAATATGCCACTTCCGGTTCCTCAGATCATAAAGACCTAATCCTTCGCAAACTTCCATTGGGGTCATCGCTCCTTTCTGGACATAAATATTCGATACATAAATACCAATATTAAATAAAAATATTTATCTCTGTCCACCACATAAATGCCATCAAAAGCAAAATTGTGCAAAAAACTGGCGAGAATTTGTAAATTGTCAATGATGCCCTAAATGCACCTCTAATGTGTGTACTCTCTGTGATGCCCTGAATGTCGCCTCTGAATGTTCTTACCAGACCTCACTATGCCCTTATGAGAAAGCTATTACATAAAGTAGATTTGAACAACTACTGAGGGCACTTGAGTTCTTTATGATCAGAGTCTCATAAACCAAATAACAGCAGTTAAGCTCTAGAAAGATGGAATTTAACATGTGTTGTTATTGTTAAAGATAAATATCAAATGGAATGGAAACAAAGGAAGCATATGTTTCTCACTTCCTTTTCCAATAAATTAGTTTCATTGAAAGACAATCACCATCCTCATTATTAGGTCTCAGTCTCTGAAAATTTGCTTTTTTCAATCTGATAAATAATCAAAACAGAACTATAAATTCCTCAAATCAAGAAATCTAAGAGGCTTGTTTCTATCCTCTTTGTAGAAAATGATACGCGAGTTTGGGATAAAAAATCAAGAATTCCACATGCATGTTAGTTTCTAAATGTAAGACATCAAGCCAACCATCACTAACTCCACTCCCACTATGAGGCTGGTACCATGCCACCAATATCAACACCCACAACAAAAACCCGCACAGCCACTCCACTACCTTCTCATACCCTCACAAGACCCAGAAAGATATATGATAAATTTGTAATTCAAGAAACATAAACAAATCACGTTTCTTTGTAACACAGACTCACACTAATGCTTAATTAACCAATCAATAAGAAAAGGAAATGTATTAAAAGATGTCTAAGGCCTCTCATTAATACTCTGAGGTTTTATTCACAATAGCCTGAGCTCAACAATCATACAAGAAGGGTTGAACATTTTTCTAGAGAATAATGAGTGTAAACGTCAGAAAGGCTATACTAGCTATAAATTTTAACGCATCAACAGTCTAATAATTTTTTACTTCCCAGATCAGATTGCAATTCCATTAAATGTCAAGCTGCCGCAATGATCTATGGACGTAGGGTATTCAATTATGTGGAATTCCCGGGATGCAAGTCATGTAGATTGAAGTGTGGAATTGATAAGGTATATCTATAAATGTGCTCATGCATCATTGTTTCACAGAAAAAATGCCGAGAACAAATTCTATTACTAACGTCTGAAAATAACCTCACAGTACTCAAAATCTTTCAAAAAGCCAAAGATTATAGTAATAATTCAACCTCATATATACCCTTACTGCAAGTTTTGCTTTCAAATTACTTTTATGTTTCAAATAGCTTCTAAATACACATTTGACTTCTACTTGGATTAAAATCTTGTTTAAGGATCATGACAATACATGAAAGCATATAAGTGATGAAGAATCTATATTTAGAAGCTATTATAAGAAGTAATTTGTTTTTCAAATACTTTAGATAAAAATCTTAGCATAAATTTAATTCCATGAGGCAAAACAATAACAGAAAGGAAATCCTGTTCTTGCAATTCTGTTCTTGCATAGAAACTTCCGCAAAATATTTTAAAAGTTGAAACACTGAAGTAACAGGATCTGCAGAAAAAATTATGGTAAAATATAGACTTTGGGTATGATAAATTTTAGCATTCTTCTTCCTAATTGTAAATTCATCTTAAATGGCGACATGCATTTTGCTTTCTTGAGCACAAAACTCAATTTCAAAGCTAACTATGGAAGCAAGAAACAAAGTCATTATATATGCAAACAAACTTGATATAATTAGTATTTTTCTTCTTTTTTCCTGATTACCCAGAAATCTGTAATCACCAGATTGTAGTGCATGGTATGTGTATCAATCCATGTTGAATGAAGACATAACTCTGTCCTAAAGAACAATGACATACAGAATTTGTCAAAACTTTACAAGAAAAGAACACAGGGCAGCAACAAATAAATAACTTAAATTCTTAATATGTCTACTCATACAACAAAGATGCGCGCACAACAGACGCACAAAACATGTATGCAGATATCTGCATGTCCAAAAAGAAACTGTAACTTTTTGTGTATTTTATCCATAAGAGAAGAAATCAAATTGGAAACTGAGAATGAAAACATACCATATCCTGCTTATTTGCAAACACCAAAATAACACTGTGGAGCATAAATGGATCTTTGATGATAGCCTGCAAGAAATAGGTCAGTCAAATTCAGAAACTATTACCCACATTATCTTATTTATTGATATAACTCTCCAAACATCCACAACCTGAAATTCTTGTTTTGCTTTTCCAATTCTCTCTCGGTCCAAGGAATCGACAACATAGATCTACATAGAGACAAAGAGTCCGCTTTAAATACAAACAACTGTGACGGAACCAACAAAACAGATTAACAAATGAATTTATAACTACAAGCAAAGCTGGAAAAAATTAATTTGATGATTGGACCATATTCAACACAAAATCACATAATAGCAGCACAAAATAAGAAAATAAATAGGTCCAGCAATAATCATAATCTCGCACGATAAGACCATAGACTGATCATTACCAGTCCATCGGTATTATTAAAATAATGCCTCCATAGTGGCCTTAGTTTCTCTTGCCCACCAACATCCCAAACTGTGAACATGACATTCTTATACTGAACTTTCTCCACATTAAAGCCTGCAGGAGATAAAGAAAAGAATACAATTACCATCAATTTGTTGATCAATTTAACAGCACAAAGTTACATGGCTTGAATTTACCTTCATTTTTCAAACTGAAATTTTAAATTTCATAGAGAAGTCTCATGTGATAATTGATATTTTTTATGACAATGTCCATGGTTCTTATTAGTCCACTACTATAGTTTTTGACAATTTTGACATTACATAAATGCACAGAGTGTAATTGCAGTCTAGTAATCAAAATGGATCACTGTAGCAAATATGAGATAATTGACTGACAACAGCTTACAAACTAAGCAAACCCTTCATATCCAGAAATCAAGACAATGGAAGAAAAGTTACCTACCGATTGTAGGAACAGTAGATAACACTTCTCCAATGTGCAACTTGTACAGTATGGTTGTTTTACCAGCAGCATCCAAACCCAGCATCACAACCTAAAACAGCCCCAATAAACTAGTTTACAATTTAAAAAATAAGAAAAGCAGATCCAAGGAATACTAACAAATAAATGAGGCTCATCAACAATATTTAAGAACTAACCAATGACATGAAATAAATTGACAATGGCAAAGGACCTAAAAAGAAAAATAAAAAAACAATCTGCAGACGTGACATGAAAATAGAGCAAAAGCCCATACAATGCCTTGTAACCCAGATATGGCCAATAATGTTTGTTTCCAAGCAAAAGGAAAGGTAAGCTTCATTAACTTCCCTTGAAGCTTTGACCAATTGAAGTCAAACCCCATTCATCAGAAAACAGTCATAGACCTCTTTTGAAGAAGAAATTTCCCATAAATTTACAAAAATTCATGAGAGTTCCTATATCTATTTTAAGAATACTATTTTCTACCTGTAATCAGCCTCAAATTAGGAACAAACAATGCGTTCTTCAGAGCTCATGACTTTTAAGTATCAAGCAAAACCACTTCCACAAAGAAAATATAAAAATAAAATAAAATCATCAAGTTTCAACTCTCCCGAAATTAGTTTCATTGAAAGACAATCACCACCTCATTATTAGGTCTCAGTCTCTGAAATTTGCTTTTTTCAATCTGATAAAAATCAAACAGAACTATAAATTCCTCAAATCAAGAAATCTAAGAGGCTTGTTTCTATCCTCTTTGTAGAAAATGATACCGTTTGGATAAAAAATCAAGATTCCACATGCATGTTAGTTTCTAAATGTAAGACATCAAGCCAACCATTACTAACTCCACTCCCACATGAGGCTGGTACCATGCCACCAATATCAACACCCACAACAAAACCCGCACAGCCACTCCACTACCTTCTCATACCCTCACAAGACCCAGAAGATATATGATAAATTTGTAATTCAAGAAACATAAACAAATCAAGTTTCTTTGTCACACAGACTCACACTAATGCTTAATTAACCAATCAATAAGAAAAGGAAATGTTTAAAAGATGTCTAAGGCCTCTCATTAATACTCTAGGTTTTATTCACAATAGTAGCTCAACAATCTACAGAAGGTTAACATTTTTCTAGAGAATAATGAGTGTAAACGTCAGAAAGGCTATACTAGCTATAAATTTTAATGCATCACACAGTCAATATTTTTTACTTCCAATCAGATTGCAATTCCATTAAATGTCAAGCTGCCGCAATGATCTATGGAGTAGGGTATTCAATTATGTGGATTCCAGGGATGCAAGTCATGTAGTTGAAGTGTGGAATTGATAAGGTATATCTATAAATGTGCTCATGCATCATTGTTTTCCATATTGCGATTATGATTATTGTGCTAGAAAATTAGTAAAATAAAGTATGAGTTTATTGTTAGCATAATATTACATATACAATATTCTTCATACGATATGATATGACAAAAAATAATTAGCTGATTTTAAATTAAAAATAATTTTTTACTCAACACATTTTATTACATCATCTTGTATGAAAAATATTGTATGGATAGTATTAGTTAAAAGTTGTCATAAGATTATTTTAAGATTTAGAAAAAAAAAAAAAAAAAAGCCCAAGTTTTGAGACAACCGAAGTAAAATAACATAAACATAAAGTCCATGAGAATTTAAATATAAAGTTTCGCTCCATTGGTTTTACCTTTTCTCTTTACTTTAGCTTAACATTCAATATGGGACAATAATAAACATCTGTTTTTTATTTTATCTTGACATTTTATTATGAGTAATACTAATTTTAAAAAGACACATACAAAAGGGACATACAAAAATAATATTCACCTTTGATTTTCATGATTTTTTTTTTCTCTCTCTCTCTCTCTCTCTCTCTCTTTTTCTATTTTTTCTTTATTTTTTTCTTCTGAATGATGTCACTTTGTAGCCCTCTTTATATGGGTCTTTGTAAGGATAGCATTTTTCTTTTATTATATCCTAGTCTTAAGTAGGCCACAAGACCACCTATTATTCTGTCCAATATTTTAAAACCTAACCCGGGGTGAAACCTAACAAAGTTGTTGGGTCCTGGACTGATCGGTTTGACCGGTCGATCAAACCAAGTGACAAAAATTTTAAAATTCAACAAATACACCTCTAAAAATTATAGATAAGTCCCTACAGATTTGAAATTTAGCAAATACACTCTAAATATAAATCGACAATCGACTGGTTGGCGATGACGACACCCTAAATACAATCTCAATCATCCCTAGAGTCCACCATTGCACACACCCCAAATACAAATTGACGGTCACCTATTTTTTTCAATTTTTGTTCATCGAAAATCAACTCTTTCGTCACCATTGTATTCACCAACACTTGCTCTTCGAAAGCTCCAACATCCCGACCTTCAATTGTTCATTAATTATTATCCCAATTTATAGGGGTTTTGGTGAATAATGAAAAGGGTAATCTAACCCGATGAAAACACCAGGTCCCAGTTGAACCGATTCAACCGGCCAAGCCAGACCGGGTTTTAAAACAATGATTTTACCTCACTCTACTTTGATGGTGAAATGGACCAAAAACATAATCACATGTGTTGTCATATATATCAAATTTTCTCCTCACCTACCATTAATTGAACACTAATTACCCTTTATAACCACCGCCATGGTGTGTGGCTTTTAAAACCAATCATACATGTTATTATTTCATTAAACGGTCTCACATCGGCAAAGTAACCATATATGTCATTGTTTTATTAGATGATCTTGTCATGTCAACAAAATAAATAAGGCGATGAGACCATCTCATATAAAATACTGAGTGAGAGAGAGAGCATTTCAACATCATTTACCTTAAATCTAGGGGCATATACAGCATGTATAAACCCGTAGAGTCAAGTTAATTGTGATAACAGGTTTCATCTGAATATACATTGGAGGAAGTCACACATCCAATTGCCAAAGTATGGTCAAAGGTAAGGAACCACATTAGGCTTCATTAGCTATAGATAAAACCCAAAAGAATTTGACGACAGTCAGGACTTCCCACAGGGTAACTAAGCATGACTCTCAAGCTTCATGATTGAATTATCCTCACGACATCATATAAACCTGCTACGGTAGGAAGATTGATGAGAATTTCTAGTCGTACCTCGTGAAAGGAAATCTTCTACAAGGATGATATTGAAGTGGAACCACAATGTACAAGTTTTTGACTGCTAAAGAGGTAAGAATTTCAACCTGGAAGACTAGATTGTCGAGGTGCCTGCAGATGAGTATCCGGCAGCTCTCATCTCCTTTAGAGTTGAAGCCAACCAATCCAAGCCTTCATAAAGTCCATCTCCTCTAAGTGCACAAGTCCCTTGAATATGCCACTTCCGGTTCCTCAGATCATAAAGACCTAATCCTTCGCAAACTTCCATTGGGGTCATCGCTCCTTTCTGGACATAAATATTCGATACATAAATACCAATATTAAATAAAAATATTTATCTCTGTCCACCACATAAATGCCATCAAAAGCAAAATTGTGCAAAAAACTGGCGAGAATTTGTAAATTGTCAATGATGCCCTAAATGCACCTCTAATGTGTGTACTCTCTGTGATGCCCTGAATGTCGCCTCTGAATGTTCTTACCAGACCTCACTATGCCCTTATGAGAAAGCTATTACATAAAGTAGATTTGAACAACTACTGAGGGCACTTGAGTTCTTTATGATCAGAGTCTCATAAACCAAATAACAGCAGTTAAGCTCTAGAAAGATGGAATTTAACATGTGTTGTTATTGTTAAAGATAAATATCAAATGGAATGGAAACAAAGGAAGCATATGTTTCTCACTTCCTTTTCCAATAAATTAGTTTCATTGAAAGACAATCACCATCCTCATTATTAGGTCTCAGTCTCTGAAAATTTGCTTTTTTCAATCTGATAAATAATCAAAACAGAACTATAAATTCCTCAAATCAAGAAATCTAAGAGGCTTGTTTCTATCCTCTTTGTAGAAAATGATACGCGAGTTTGGGATAAAAAATCAAGAATTCCACATGCATGTTAGTTTCTAAATGTAAGACATCAAGCCAACCATCACTAACTCCACTCCCACTATGAGGCTGGTACCATGCCACCAATATCAACACCCACAACAAAAACCCGCACAGCCACTCCACTACCTTCTCATACCCTCACAAGACCCAGAAAGATATATGATAAATTTGTAATTCAAGAAACATAAACAAATCACGTTTCTTTGTAACACAGACTCACACTAATGCTTAATTAACCAATCAATAAGAAAAGGAAATGTATTAAAAGATGTCTAAGGCCTCTCATTAATACTCTGAGGTTTTATTCACAATAGCCTGAGCTCAACAATCATACAAGAAGGGTTGAACATTTTTCTAGAGAATAATGAGTGTAAACGTCAGAAAGGCTATACTAGCTATAAATTTTAACGCATCAACAGTCTAATAATTTTTTACTTCCCAGATCAGATTGCAATTCCATTAAATGTCAAGCTGCCGCAATGATCTATGGACGTAGGGTATTCAATTATGTGGAATTCCCGGGATGCAAGTCATGTAGATTGAAGTGTGGAATTGATAAGGTATATCTATAAATGTGCTCATGCATCATTGTTTCACAGAAAAAATGCCGAGAACAAATTCTATTACTAACGTCTGAAAATAACCTCACAGTACTCAAAATCTTTCAAAAAGCCAAAGATTATAGTAATAATTCAACCTCATATATACCCTTACTGCAAGTTTTGCTTTCAAATTACTTTTATGTTTCAAATAGCTTCTAAATACACATTTGACTTCTACTTGGATTAAAATCTTGTTTAAGGATCATGACAATACATGAAAGCATATAAGTGATGAAGAATCTATATTTAGAAGCTATTATAAGAAGTAATTTGTTTTTCAAATACTTTAGATAAAAATCTTAGCATAAATTTAATTCCATGAGGCAAAACAATAACAGAAAGGAAATCCTGTTCTTGCAATTCTGTTCTTGCATAGAAACTTCCGCAAAATATTTTAAAAGTTGAAACACTGAAGTAACAGGAT